GGAAGGAAAGGTAGAATCCATCCAAACTGAAGTAAAACAGCTAAAAGAGAAAGCTGATAGCAGTTAGTTGTCTTCCAGCTGGGGAAAAGGTAAATGCTACCCAGGGCTACTTGACATGGTCAAAAAGAAATCTCTGAGAGATATATTTTAGAAAATTATCTTTCTCTCCAGGAAAGCATATTATCACTGAACTGGAATACAGTCAGATTAATAACCCGGACAATTTTCAGAAAATACCTCAGTGAAAAGAAACTTCAAGGAAGAACACACACAAGAGGAACACAGCAACAATTGTCCGTACACCACTGTAGGGAATTTTGTAGCAAGGATGCATGAAAGAAAATGGCTGGGTTCTGAAAAGAGGATCTGTTATAAGAGGCAGTCCTAAAATATGGAGTGATAAATCAATGGGACACCAGGAATTAGGCTGAAGACAGACCCTCCTACGTGGGGAGCAGCACCACACCAGAGGCTTCCACAGAAACCTTGCTGGGGTAGCATACAGGCAAAACCTCTTATAAATGCTAAACGGATGGTAATACCCTGTTGCTGAATATCCCAGGCAGGTGAAAGATACAGAGTACACACTCCTGGTGAGTTGTTATTCATTAGCAATAGGAACGGGCAGCTTGTATCAATGACCTGTTATCTTGGGAAACCCCAAGAAAGTGCTGCTGCAGAGGACGGAGAGAGAGTCCTGAATCCATGTGGCAGAGGCTATGCAGGTCAGGGAGCAGACTGTTCCTCTGCAGTGTTCAAACGACTAATCTTCACATCCTAGAAGAGAAGAACTTTTATTTTGAATGGAATTTGTGCCTACAGCAAAGAGTCTTGCTAGGGTGCTGACCACATGTTAATAAAATGATAGCCTGGAAAACACGAAGATAGGTAGCTTGAATTATTATCAGCAAGAAGCTTCCTTGAATTGCACTAAACACATCTTTCTGTAAATTATTAAGCATTAAAGACACATAAAATCCTCACTTTCATCATGTATTTTTCCACTACTCTGAACTCAGGCAATAAAAATCAATGGAACAAATTTCCACTTTCCATTACTGCTAGTTATATTATATCTGTTTGAAAACAGTTACATCTGATTCTAATTTACATCTAAGCACTTTTGCGTAGTGTAAAGGGCCTTAAAGGCTGTCATTTACATTCACACACACTTCAAGGGCCTTTTATATTGCCAGAGCACCAGAGAGAACAGTGACATATGACCTCTGTGTAAGTGGAAATCAGGCATGGTTACTTTAAAAATGAAGTTCATCTGGGCAGATCTGGATCCTTCCAGTGTTGGGAAGGGGTAGGGCACCTGGACTGCTGCAGGAGCACTGCTGTATCATATGACGAGAAGCAGAAGTATCATATAAAAGTGTCCATGAGGCTGTACTCTTTAGCACACACCCTTCGCCAATCTGTCTTTTTTCTCCCCTATTAATAAATCTGTTGAGTGCATAGCTCTCTCCTCTAAATAACAGAAAGTGAGGAAAGAAAAATGATTTCATTGTGTGATTCCCTGAGCAGGTAAAAATAAAGCTGTTAAACTGGTGACCATGCGTGAACTTCACAGAAGTGACAGCATGGGCTCCTTCATGCTTTTCTTACATAGCAGAACTAAAAATAGCCAATACAACATTGTGTTTAGATTTATAAAAATCTACGTTTATACTCCCCTGTTGACAAAGAAATGACCTGGCAACACCCAGGTCCGCAAATGCCAGATCAGAATATGGTATGGAAGAAGTTACATCAGAACGACTGGAAAAGACAGGGAGTTTTTCAGCAAAACTTTTTGGAGAGAAGGTTTCTCTGAGGAGAGCAGGAGAGTGATAAGGATATGGGTTGGCATGGCTAGGGTGAGGCTAGCATCAGGAGGAGGCAGTCAATCAACGCCCTATGATGAGAGCAGTCCCTTTCTCTCCTTCCATGCATGAGAGAGCTCTGTTATTTTTTTTACTCTGAATTCTGAATCTGATATCCAAGAGACTTCTCTGCTTTCAAGGCTAACGAATTTCTTCAGATAGCACTAATGGTCACGCTCACTATCTTGTCTGCCTTTCTCCTCCCACCTCCCCAAATTTTGGATCCATTCTAGCATCAAAACCTTTACATTTCTCATGAAACAGAATTTTCACATTCTGACCAATGCTAGTGAGAACAAAAATGTGGTGAACAAGAGGTTGGTGTAACATCAATGTACATTTAAAAGTAGTTGTGTAAATTATTTTTCAAAACAAACTTCAGCGACATAAGGACTAAGGGAGGTAATACGAACAGCTCACAGTCAAGGAAGAAAGGACTCCCTTCTGTTCAGAATCACACCTCTGCATCCTTATTGTCTCCTGAAGAGTTTCACAAGACTGGCTGGTAGCAAAACTGACCCAAATGGACCTTCAGTCAGGTGAAATCTGTTAACAGTAGCATCTAATAGATTGATCATGCAAAAGCACTTTGCACTTGCTATCTCTTTTCTAGCCCACAGTCATGAGTAATTTCTCGTTTCCTTCCTTCTTTCTTCCACAGGATATTACAAAGCAGACCAGATTGTCAAGAGAGCAAACGAAGGGATGGCACCAAAAGCAGCTGTCAGGCTTGGATTCCTTAGATAGGAACAGTCTGATCAGCAGCAAAGCCCAAAGAAATATTTGGCTCTGAGTCATTTTCTCAAGCACCATGGGGAACAGAAAATTGGAGGGTGAGAGCAGTGATAGAGAGTTATAGATTATTTTACTGCCTGTTTAATTTTGCTTTACATAACCATCTAATTGTGAAGTTGAATTTTTCTATGTATGGTACATAAAAGAGTTGCCCAATATGATAAGTATATCATATTTATATATGATTATTTATATTTACAATATATATGATATGATTATTTATATTTACCATATATTTATGAAATGCTCAGAGAATACAATCATTGTTCATAATGAGAATACTACTGCCTCATGACAAGGCCATGATTGTCTTTTCTAGTTCGAGTGTACGGCAGAATGAATGAAAAGCAGAATTTTTCCAGTGACAGATGAAAGCAGGGGCATTCATCTTGGCTTAGCCAGCCTATTCATTCAGGAAGTTTTGCCATTTGGTTCAAGACTGGACTTCTTAGTTTCTTTGGGTGCCTTTCACCTATGCGATTTATCCCTTCCATTCAGGTTTCATCTTTGGTAAATTGTTTTGCATTTCCTAAAGGTTCTCAGGAGATTAGTGTATTCTCATTTGTTAGACATCTAAGGGCCTTAGTGGTTTTCTACATAAGACAGACAGAAGAGAGACTTTCAGTGATCTTTTTAACAGCAATATCAATTGCTTCAATGCTTGTATGACACTAAAGTGTGTGGAACGGCAACCCTCCAGATTTTGCAAGAGTTGGCAGCTAGCATTGCTCCTGAATAGAACAGCAACATATTTCTCCTTCAGATTTGCAGTTTCTAAATGTCACTCTTTTATTGTTGATTTATAGAGATCTTTTCTTGCCAGACCCAACCGAGCAATATATATACATGAAATAAATATTCTATACTCCAATAATAATGCTTTTTTTCCTTAACTGAAACAAAAATCGTGGTGAAACATTGTAAATTATGTCTCTTTAGCACCATTTCATTAAGTAAATCAAATGGTTGGATCTCTCTGAAAGACAAGCCTTCTCATTTTATATGGATGATTGCACAGTGCACTGAAGAATAAAGATGCTGCTAATTTACAGCCACTTTTGAGCATATATTTAATTTCTGTAAAAGATTGTCATCTCACTAACTTGATAAATTTGAACAATGCACCTGTGCTGCTTACTGAAATTTATTCTTCAGCATTACTTTCTAATATTTTACTTGAATGCTTTAATACCCTGAGAAATTACATAAAATGAAAAGAAATCTAGTAATAAAAGTATTACCAGGGAGATTTAAACTGAACAGAGGCAGAGAAGAGAGTTAGTCAAACAGCAGTCTTACCCCTGCTATTTCTACTGAAGATGGAGACAGCATTAAGTCATCACCATGTAAAAGGTAAATATTTGAGGGTCAGACACTGGGTTTCCTCTACATTTAGAACAGAAACGGACCCTCATGTTGGTACATGTTTAAGTGAGTGTAGGAGTTCTCCTGAACCCCTGGGCTGAGAAACCTCTGGGGCTGCATGAGTCACTGTGGTCAGTCATGCTATTTGTGCTGAACTCCGTTAAAAATAGCTTTCACTTTTCTAGTCTGCTTGTGCAGTTAAAATACCTGGCAGCGATGCTCAGTGTTGTAGGTTTCATGACTTTGCAGGTCTTAATTGAGCCAACAGCTTCACCTTTGCCTGAACAGACACCAACGCTATCTATTTTTCCAGATGGAAAAGCACTGCAGATGCATCATCTATTGCTTGCCTTGTCTGCTTGCAGAGTTTCAGCCTTCAAGTGAACAGGAGATTTAGTTTGTTGCAGTTAGCTTTCTGCTGCCTCCTGCTTTCCCATACGTGGAAAATGAAGAAATAAATATCCCTTAGCGCAGGTGTAACAACTAAGTCATGAGAGTTGCAGGAACACCTGGACCTTGCTGTCTTGACAGAAGCAGGCCCAGAAAGGCTATAAAGATGTCTGAGACTCTGATTCATGGCACAATGTTGCATGTTCAGGAAGGTCTGGCATGTTTCAGGCGATCCTTTTCCTGGAATACGGTGAGTATGTGTTTTGAGGAGGAATTCTTCTCTGCACAACCATGCTGCTCACCTGTATGGAGAGTGTCAAGGAAGAATACTCCTTTATAGAAAACTGCTGACCTCAATAAATAAGTGTTCTTAAACACCTATGTTAAATCCATTTTAAAAAGGGAAGTTCCAGCTACTTAAAACACATCAGCTAAAGCTAATTTATTATTTTAGGCATGGTCTAAAAGCTAGACCAGAATATGAAGGTGCCTGAAAGAATGTACAGGAACTAGCATTTTCCAATAGCTTTATTTTTTTATTTATTTCCAAAAAAAGCAAAGGAAAAGTAGGTAGGACTGAAATCTGAAGAAGGAGGTAGGAAATTTGCTAGCATCCTCTGGGAAGCTATAAGCTGGTATACAAAGAATTTTTATATTTATATCGTGTAAATAGGGTTGTGAGAATTACGTGGGGGACACGATGAGAAAGTTACAATCTTGCTGGTTTAAACAGTGCTACAAACATGACTACTTTTTCTTGAAGTAAAAGACCAGAGCCCTTACCCAGCTTGTGAAATAGATTCCCACCCTCTAAGGACCTGCCACGGTGGGCACATTTTGAGCAGGATTACACTGTCATCTAGCAGGAAAAACAGACCTGCACACATGTTCTGGTCGTTCACAGACTGTATGTAGATACGCTCCTCATGTAATGGGCTCACTGGGCAGTTGTTCAACCAGCTCAGGATGATCTTTAACTAATTGAAGTCTTTATTTTAGGTTAGCTCAAAGCTCTTATTTTTCTCATCAAATAAAGCGGATTTCTTCTATACTGAAAAAGAGGCTTGAGCTTTTCTGAGACAAACCGTGTTGAAACAGCTGCAAAATTGCTCAGCTTGACTCAGTTGTCTTGCATTGTTACAGATATCAACCATTTGCTCTAATACAAAGCACGCTCATTCACTGCAGAACAGCCTTGAGTACAAGCAGAGGATCAACAGGGTCATCTTCTTAGGTGCCATCATGCTGGATCTCCTGGGATGCTGTGCATGACTGCCATCATCAGCAGGAAGGACAGTAGCTGGAAAGAAGGGGACAATAAAAGAAACAAGGGTGAGAGAGAGAAGCCCTTCAGAAGAGTTCATCAAGACAAGGATGGCGACAGAGTGTAAAGCAGACAAGGCAAAAGACGCTGATTAGGGGACATCTCAGTGGAAGAAACGAGAGAGAGTCTCCAAAAGCTGAGGACTGGCAGCTGGCAGTAAACATGAAAGTGCAGCTGCCTTTAAAATGACACAAGGAGGACAGTGGGGTATCACAAGATGGTTCAAGGTGGCTCAAAAGCACTGTCCCGGTGCATGCATGTTCCACATGTGCCAGAAAATTTCACGGCAGTGCATGCACTCATGGATTTGGAGCAATCTGTTCACACAGGGCTTGGCATTCATTAGGTGGGCATCTGAGTGGGTCTTCACCCAAAAGAAATCCAGATTCTGAGCACCAGCAACACTCTGCAGCTCAAACCAACACACAGTAAGTGGTGACAACTGGGTGAATTCTTTTCCCTACTGCTCTAAACAAAAACACAGATGTAGACATGCTTTAAAAGCTTGACCAAGTTCTTGTCAGAGTTTGTCACAAAATTTCTATGGGAGCCTGCTCCAGAACCTTTATTAGGAGACAAATCATAAATACGCTGTTTCTCGTCTTGCTTTTGTTTTATCTTCTGTTGCTGTCAATGCTTTCCCACCCGGCTTTAACAACATAAAGGGAATTTGTTTTAAGTAGCCGTAACACTTTTGGAAGGTGCTTGGTCAACACTGCTAGAGGCTGTGTTTCTCTACCTCTCAAGCAAGTGTGCAGAATACACACATGATACTGATGAGTCCTTGAACACGGAAAGATCACTTGTGAAAAGGATGATTCATTTCACTTTGCTGCTGCATTAAATTTTGACTTCTATGCCAAGATTGCACAAGAACAAGTATCATTTTTCACAGGGATCTTATATATATTTCCGTTCCTTTGGAAGATAAATACAGTCATTATTTGTGTCTTATATAAACTACTGAAAAGCCACCAGCTTAAAGTTGCTTTCTGTCCCATTCAACTGACTGGTACTGATGATCTAGATGTGACAGCTTCTAGGTACCAACCTCTTTGCCATCCGGGGCCTCAGAAGAGCAAAAACCTTGCATTTGCTTTGAAAGTAGCTCTGCCATATGGTAGCATAATACCTATTTAAACTCTCAAGGCTGAAGTATATCCTTTATTTTTCACGACTGTTGAAATTGTTTTGCAGAAATCTAGCGCAGGAAGAGCATCCACATTGCCCATCTAAATAGGAGACACAGGATTTTTTGATTTTGATCCTCTTCTTCCCTAAGAGATACTTTCTTCATATTCATTTTCCAAATATGCATAAACTTACATGTTCTCATGCATATGTTTGACCTTTAAGATGCTGAACAGTATGCATGGTCAGTGACTAGTGCAGCATGATTCCTTTGTAAACAGTGTTTCAATTTGGCCTGCAGTCAAAGCATCTGAACTAGTTCTAACACCTTGGTTTCACAAGAAGATGTAACTGTGTTAGTTCCTTGGTTTTTGCTTTTATTTAGCTCCAAATAATGCCCAAATTCCAAGCAGCTAAGTCCCCAGCTGAGACGTCCTATATCATCCCGAGGATTAAGTTTAGACAGAATGTCAGCCACTAATCAACACTAAAGGTCAGATTACTTGCAATTTTTCTAGACTGCTAAATTAATATGGTGTTAACCTTCGTGGATTGTGACAAAAATACATTTTTATACAGTACTGTAAATTGTCTGTAATAACTCTGTAACAAAAGTTCACTTCTCTTTCTACAGAGGCATAATCAAAGCTAAACTTCAGAAAAAAGTACACTAGTGTGAAGTGAAGAGACAAAGTGCGGCAAATGTCGTTGATGACTAGTGATTTTAAAGAAGGCATTTTCAAACATCTTGTGAGCCACAGTGTTTACTTTTGATGTCTCTTGCTGGGCTTCCAACCTCCTTGTGCAGAACCTGGGAAGAAGCAGCTCTTAGAAGTACAGAGCAAACTCTGCACCCATGGGGATGACAGAGTCCCGTGTGGCACCCAGATGTTGTTAGAATTAGCCTGCCTGCAAAAAAATACTAGCAAATGTGCTGATATAAGAATAATTAAATGGGAAATTCTGATTTAGACAAAAGCAGAAACTTTCCTAACACTAGTGTATTCCAGATTGCAACTAAGCTTTCAATAGCTTTTGCCATCTTTGAATTTTCAGGGAACCATCATAAAATCAGCAAAAATGAATGACAGAAAAAATATATGACAGTCGTTCACAGTGTATTAGCATGAGCAGTCAAGTTCGAAGACCTCAGGACCAGAACTACACAGAGCCACTAGATGCAGAAAATATCTATCTAACTGCACAGGCTTTGGATAGGAGTTGCATCACTGGTAAAGAGCAAGTATAGATAGTAAGAACAAACAGTTATAAAAAATTATTGTAGTGGTTGCAGTCACACATTAGGCCTGTGATATTTGAATAGTTCTGATCTATACCATGCGTAACAGGTTTGCTTTCTTCATCACTGGTTATGCCACAGAATCAGACCAGAGGAGAATTCTGCCCAGTCCTCTTTCCTTATTTAAATAGTTTTCTAGACGCAGAACCTGCCAAACACTTCAACCTTGTGTAGGTACCTAACCTTCTGTTACAGAGTAACCTACTACAGTTACTACTTTAATGGTAGCAATCCGTATAAAAGTTTTTTTTTTTTTTTTCTGATAAAAGGTCACACTTCTGTTTTCTGTAGACTATCACTGTTTTTTCTTACCTCTGCACTAAGTTAATCTTCATCATAAACAGCAGTACATATCATTCAAAAGCTGAAAGCAAAACATTATTGAAATCGAAAGCTTTAGTAAGAACAGTTTCAGCTGTCTAAACAGTACAGCACTAAGGGTGGATCTTTTTTGTATTTCACAGTGAGATAAGTCCTATCAGTACAGGTGGCTGGAGTTGTGCCAATTCATCTCTGCTTTCTTCCCACTCTTTCTTTCCCCCACCTCATGGAGAACATACAAAGTCCCATGAGAAAGCTATGGTTTGCTTTCGGGAGAGAAGGCAGCCACGCTTCAGGGTATGCATGAATTGACCTGGCCTAATAAACTGCCTGTCTCTACCTGGTTTTTAATTGCCTAGCTAGCTAAAAACATCTCTCTGATCGAATAGGTCTGTTCTGTCAGCCTTGATTGTCTCTTTTCTCACCTTCTCTCCTATCAATCTGTCACCAGCTGCTAAGTGTCATCTGTGAAATGCCAACGAAAGCAGTAACAATTGTAGCTTACTGGCACAATCTGGTAGCATCCACTCTTGAAAAAAAAAGAGTAAGCAGATGCACAGGCCCAGAACTGAGACAGTTCAGATGTACAACTTCAAATTGTATGAAGAAAGGCACAACCAAGCATACTTCATGCCATGAATGCTCTGCTGGGGACTTTTCTGCAATTAAAACCTGGGAACAGCTGTAATGGGTCAGACCAAATGCTCCATCTCCAAAAGTGGCCAGTAACAGATGCAGAGGCAAACTAGACAAACAAAAGAGAGATTTTCCCTAGCAGTGATTTGTAGCTTAGAGAATTCTTGAAGCCAGAGAGTAGATGCTTTTGTAGTTAATAGGCTGTGATAAATTTGTCTTCTGTGTATTTGTCCGGTAGTCCTCAGAGCCATGTAACTTAGTGTCCTCAACGTCTTGTGTCTCTTAAACGTACCCATTTCCGTTCCTAAGGAATCTGCCCAGTTCTCTTTAGGGTTGATCTGAGGACTTTACCCTTTCCTTTCACAGGGAGTTCAATCCTGAAAACGCAAGCCTTCAGCTGATGTAAAGTTTATTCTGAGTGTAATGAAATCCACAAAGTACTTTCTGTAAGCTTTTTCTCTGAAGATAGGTAAAAATGGAAACATGGGTGGTGGTGTCAAATCCAGATTACTTCTTACTGAAGGGCCAGACATTGTTCATTCAATCTTCACATCCGTTTCTCTACTGACAACTAATTCTAGCCTTTCTCACCTTTGTGTACCTGACATTAGAACTACGATAAGAATCACGTCTCACTCTGAGTCATATTTATTTGCTTGCTTCTCATTTTGCATATATAGTCACACCTGCCTCCACAAATAAAAAGCATTTGGAATCCAATATTATCAAATAAGACATCGCTGGCAGTCATCATCCATTTTATTAAGAGGTAAATCTAGTCGTCCACTCTCAGGCTCTGGAAATGCCCTGGTAAGGGACCTGACATGGCCCTGTAACCCAAGAGGGGCCATTCCTACATCCTTAGCAGACGCTTATCCTGCTGGGGCGGGCACGAAGTCTCTGCGTTTGCTGCTATGCTAGTATACTGAGGAGCTTGGGGAAACATCTGGTTGCCTTAAGGACCACGGAAAAATCTATTTTGGGCAGGCTACGGGGAAGTTTGCATCTGTGCATCCCCACCACCTACATCCTCCAGCACAGAGCATACCCTTGTTCTAGGAGCTTGGAAGGCCGAAGCAAATTTAGAGCTCCCTTTAACTGTTTCTGGCACACCACTTCTGGTCTGGATTTCATTTTGCTAGTCTGCGCATATTTTGATGAAAGCTCTGGAGAAAGACTAATGTGAAATAATTAATTGTTTCACCTGTATCTGAATGCAGTATTAAAATTTGCCTTCATAGTACAGTACAACTACTACATTTTGCTTGGATAACAGCATAATGTATAGGATGTTTTATGAAAAAGCAGAAGCAGTTCTTCAGCTGTTATCTGTCACAGTTCCTGCAGTGAGGCAATAGTAACTATTTATACCAGGTGCAAAGCTGTCTGTGGTTTCATTTCTGTAATACACTTTCAATTTCCAATACAATCTAAGTAGACTAGTAATAATAAAACCTTATTTACTTGTGGTCTCAGCTACCCTATAATTTTTCTAATTTCTTTTAATTGTCTAGCTTTTTATCATGAGTGCTGTTAATCTGCTTCTAGATCTTCATTTAGCTTCAGCACTTGTCTGCTCTCTCGTACTAATGCAATGCTGGAATGTGTTTGGGAGCCTAACACATCCCACAGAAAAGGTTAGGAAAAAAAAAGCTAAATTTTTTAAAATCAAAAAATCAAAATATCTTTTACTAAACGTTTACCATTTGCCTAACAATCTGGCTTGTAACTGCTTCAAATAAGACTGCAATCACTTCATGGTAATGTGTTACAGGTATGGATTAGGAGATGCAGGAGGGCTAAAACAACTTGTCATTTCAATCAATAAAACTTGCGATTACAAGTGGCAGAGGAAAATAGCATAGCAAGTTGAAATCACTTGTTAATAGAAAATTAGTGACAGAGACAAGACAATAGTGAAGGTCTACTGGGTCTCACTTTCATCCGTGTTTCTTGATCACTTTGCTCCATACTGCACACATTAGTATTGGCCCTAGACATGCAGTATTTCTTTCCAATGAACAAACATTTGGTTCACTTCCAGCAACAAACTTTCTTATACTTAATCAACCAGTTTATTAGAGCATGAAGGAAAATTGGTCATGACTTCAGTTCCTGTACTGCTGGAATTAACAAGCCGGCTGTTGCCAACACTAAACTTGGAAGTGCTAATGGTAATTAAAATCTATTTTCAAATACATTTCACAGTTTTAAGGTGGAGAAGTACTTGTTACTCATGTGAATTGCCAAATTGTGTTAAAAAAAAAAAAAGTGCTACTTTCTTCAGGAAAATATCAGCTGTAGAACAGAAATAAAAATTAATGAATTATTAATGCTGTGTGGTATGGCATTTGTTCTCCTTCAGTGAGTTTATGGCTATGTATGTCTTCCAAAATCTTTGAGTAAGAGAAGTTTCAAACTAAAATTTAAACATATTGCTATTTTTGGTTAACTTCTTAGTCACTGTAAAGTTGTTATGACAGAACAATATAGCAAAATAGTACTAATTTTGCAGCTGACACATAATATGTGCTATCAGTAGCCTTACTGCTATTTGGCAGAAATCCATGCAGCCCATTCAGTCAATTTTCCCTCAGGTGAACTTGGGTGAAATGTCTTATATTAACAAAGTACTTCAACCCCAGGCTGAAATGGGACTGTGTTCCAAATGGCAATCTTCTTAATTATTCAACATATTCGCATTATACTGTAAAGAAAATAAAAGAAGGGTAGTCACACTTTATTTTTCACTTCATTTTAGGAGCCTGTTTCCTGGTTATTTCAATCAATTGAATCAGTGGGAGGGTCAAAGGATAGATTAAAAAAATGTTGCCTGTCAGATCAACAGGGGATTTCAATTAATATTCTTTTACACAGAATAGAAGCATATGGGCCACAGAGTGCAGCTCTCCTTGGAAAATTACTGTCAAAACAGTACCATCTCCATTAACACAGCTGCTGGCTTGTGAAGTAGAAATCAGTTTTTACTTGAGTTAACCTTCAAAAAGCATAGTTCAGAGTGACTGCTCAGTAATATTCTCCCATGCTACAGCAGCAATATTGCCTATTAACACTCTACTACAAGTCACACCTATACAATTCCACAAGTGTTACTTTGAATGTAACACCCTATCGACCCTTTCTGATGATGTGAAGGAATCAAAAGTTATGTTCATCCAGCCTGACAATTGTTATCGAGATCTCCTTTCCTCTTGTAAAAAAGGAAAGCACACTTTGATAGAACGCTTCTCATACAAGTAACGTAGATTCCACAGTATGGACTTACTTTTTAATTTGCCTGCGTTTCAGCTGATTTCCAAGGCAAAAGCCCTATCTTCATATATAATCAGATACAGGCATTTCCTTTAGGTATTTCCTCCACAGAAGAAATATCACCATTTTCCATGTGAAACAGTGAGGATCTCTATCTGTCATTTCTTTATGTGCAAGCTACTTGCAGTATATACAGAGGGGAGTACTTCAGTTTCTTACATGAAAAGTTTTATCTGAAGATAATGTGAAAGGTTCAAAGTTAAGCTCTAAGAATTAGAAAAGGCTGAAGTTAAAGTTTTATCTATGCATTAAAGTTGCCTCCAGTAAGCAACTTCTTGTTTCTGCAGAGGCCCTTGCCTCACTTAATGCCTGTGCCAGGCAGAAGAGCTTTGTCACTATGGCTCTGTAACGGGAATCTGAAGATTTAGGGGTTTCTATTACTGTCTCTGATAGTGTTTCCTGTATTTCATCTTATACAAATTACTTAATCTTTCTGTGCTTTATGTCTCTCATGGTAAAATAATGATAACACTGCTTCACACTGACATGGAAAATCGTATGGGCAAACTTGTATCTTTTGAGCAATTTAATAGTCTGGTGATTGAAGCTATGAAAAGTTCAGAGACTTAGTATTGCTAAGAGGTTAGCAGGAGCACGCAGAGACTGAAGAGATGATCAAGAGGAATTCTGCTGACACAGAGTTACTATTGACTTACGCTATTAAAATAGGACAAATTTTGGTCTTCCTTGTATACACTGGACAGTGTGCAATGAAAAAGAGGCTTAGAAAGTGTTAGCAAGTGCGTAAATGGCAAATGCTGTTTTTTAAATGAATGAACGTATTAAGTTCCTGACAGAAAAGTAACTTAAATTTAAATACCTAACCATCGTACTACTTAATCAAGAGAAGTTTTTAACTTTGCAACACTCTTCCTAATTTAAATGCAGTTCTTTCTCTGACATCATTCACCGCTTAGTGATGGAAGCTACATCCTACACAAATAATGTGACTAATGCAGAACCTTGTAATGAAGATCACAACACTGGTGAAATTTGCACACTCAAATATAGTGAAAATTTGTTATTTCAACTCAGTATCCTTGCTGCATATTCTTTTACTTTCCCTGTGCATCAAGATTTACATAACTGAAGTCTGAAAGAGTCACTAGTAACTTTTAGGTGCTGAATATGAGAAACCTTTAAGAAACCCATTTTGCACACAGCAGCTCCCTAAGAAAATATATTATTTAAAGGTGTCTCGACTAGGACAGTTTCCTTTATACCTGTGTACGTGCAGCTAAATGTTTAGATGTGTGCACAGAGTACATTTAAATATGCTCCTGAGCAAGAAAGTTGCATCAATGGTTGGGTTTCACTCTGAGTACAAGCTTTGTCTTAAGTTCAGGATAAACCTATTCAGTGATAAAGCTAACATAAGGATATGCACTCTGAAGCTGTCTTTGAGAATTATATTTTGAGTTCTATCTATTCACTATGCATGTTTGCAGCCCTTTTTAAATAGATGCCTCTTTCTCAGCTGAAAAAAAGGAATGATTTCCTGATGATTTATTGTCTTCAACATTTGCTTTCTCTACAAAGCTTTAGGAAAAATGCTGGAATTTTCCCTTTTTGTTGACTATAAAAGCTTCAAGGTACATTGTACATTGTTCAGTTCAGAGCATATAATTACTGCCCTTACTATCAACGGAATCAATACAATGCTAGTGACGCTGACAGGGCAGTAATTTAATATGGACCAAGGTACACGACTATTTTGTCAGAGATGCTAATTTAGTAGGCTCATACTAAAAGTTAATGAAGCACTCATTATTATATTTTGGTTAGCCTTGTTATTTTAGTAATTTCATTTATAAGGTTAGAGAAATCAATGCTAAATGCTGAAACTTTGACTAAAGTCACCTGCGAATCCAGTCACGAGCCTTTGGACTATATGCTAAGTTCCAAAAGGCGAGGCAAAATGTTATTTGTCTTGGTATTTCTTTTTTTCTTTTCACTTCCACTTTCTACATCTTGCGCTTGCACTTCAGGGTTGGTTTCAGTGCAATCTGTAAAATTTGATCGATGAGTCACTTCAGATCTGTGGGTCATTTTTACCAGTTTTTAAAAAACAGACACCATTACAGTTTTGAAGCCCATGACAGGAAATGAAAACTAGCATTCAGTCACTATGTTCTTAATTACCAGGAGGAAAATGGACATATAATCACCAAGCAAAAGAGTTTGAATGTCAGCAAAAGTAGCGAATGTTCATAGGAAATGATTTGGTAAATTTTAAGGGCATTGTAGTTAATCACCATGACTTGGTCATGAATTATAACTTGTTCTGCATTTGGCTACAATTATTTTGATTTAATGCTTTTTATCAGTGAATAAATTTATTCAATTTCCTTTATCTATCACACAAGATTTGCAAGACATAAATTCTTAAGTATCTCTGACGTTGATCTCTTCCAGTGCATTTCTCCCATCTAGCTTTTTATGAGTCACTGAATTATTGCTAAATCCTAAAGATACTTTGGTGACTAGCTGACTTACAAAACAATTGTAAAAAGAGGGACTCCTATTGGATTACTGAATTGATGACTGTGAATCTAAGTTTTTATGAAAGCCTTTTTATAACTTATTTATGCACGACTTTCTCAAATCATCACCGAAGGGTTGGTATTGACCCTTTATTGAAAAGCAGTCTGTTTTGCCATTGTCTGTATTGCCATAGAACTTTCCTTCTGAAGACCTCAAAATGATTTAACTACTCATGCATCGAGAACATATTTGTCATAAAGAAATTCTTCTTCCCTAAAAAACATTACATGACTGTCATGAACAGAGTAGGTCCAAATGCCACTTTTTTTTTTTTTTTGCGTCTAGAAATACATTTTGGCATCCTTTTACTTTCCTTTTCCAATAGGAAGGAAAAAATAGGGGAGAGGTGAAGTGTAGGAACAGAACATGATGTGGTCTGTTAAACATATGCAAAGCACTGTTTTAGGGGAAGAAAAATACACTATTTGCAACAAGAAAAACATCTACCAGGTAATAGAAGATTCCTGCAACTGAAAACAAACCACTGCATGCACCCTGGGATGGGGTGGGCACAGTCAGATCTCTGAATCATGCTTTGGAAGACACCAGCTCACGGTAAGTCTCCTCGGCTCCTGTTATGGGCAGCCTTGGTACTGGTGCAGAAAAGCCTCTTCAGTATTGTGATGCTCACTGGGCATGTCGTAACTCTGCCTCAGAAAATAAAACCATGCAAGACACTCTT